TAAAAGTGACAAGACATGCAGTCTGATCAGTCAATTGTGATACAGAGATAAGATGACAATTAAGTCCAGGCACATAAAGATCATGTTGCAGCACAAGTTCCTGAGATAGTAACACACGGCCAGATAGAACTGCAGCTACCGTGCGGCCATCTGGCAAACCAACCGGGCAAGTAAGAATTTTTACGGGATCAACAAGACAAGTAATATCTCCTGTAACATGATGCGAGGCCCTAGTATCAATGATCCAATGAAGGGAAGAAAACTTACCCGACATTCGGTCAGAAGAGCGAGTATCAGCATTTATTAAGTTCAAGAGAGCTTGCACCTGTTCACCGGTTAAATTAGCCAAAGCATTGCTCCCTGAAATTTGTGAAGAACTTCCTTCACCGACTTGCACCGGGTTCGGTGTTACTGCATGTGTCCGAGGCCCCCCTCCACAGCCAGAAGACGAACCTTTGCCACGACTGTGTTCTTCCCACCAGTCTGGGTATCCAATCAATTTAAAACAAGACCCCACCTCATGCCCTTTATGTTTACAGTAGGTGCAAACAGGGCGCAGACGATCGGGCTTGTCCAAAACATTTTTCTCTGTTCGTGTTTTATCCGCCCATGGACGGTCAGCCTGAAGGGTGAAGGCCTGCACATCTGCCGCTGCGATGGTCCGACCCCGAGCAACCGCCCTGGAGTTCTCTTCTTGCAAGAAAGCTTGATGCGCCCGTTCAAGGTTCGGGCAAAGGGTTTTGTGAAAGCAGATTTGACCGGACTGTGCCGTAGATTTCATCGTCAATTCCGACCAAGAATTGATGGAATTTTTCATCCTCTCGTTCTGCAGCAATCTTCCCAACAACATTGCAAGTGCATAGACCACACGAACACACCAGCAGTTGTTTCAAACGATGTAGCTCATCATAGAGGCTCATGAGAGTTGTGTAATAGGTGTCGATTGACATGTTATTGGCCTGTTTACACGCGGTGATCGAAGATTTAAGTTGTTGCAGACGTGGTCCATTGGCCACACTAAATCTCTTCTCCAGGTACACCCATAGAGTTCGTGCCACATCGTGGAAAGACAAAGAAGCCACCACAGTCGGTTCCATGGCTCGAAGAAGCCAGGATACCACCATAGAATTGACGGTAATCCAGTGTGATTGCATGTTTGCTTATGCCGGTTTTGTGATGGTACCATCCACAAATCCATTCTTCCTTCTCTCTGTCAATGATAGCAAGATAGCCCGTGACCAAGACACGTAATTATCCCCTTTGAAAATTACATGGGTAATGAGATTTCCCGGTTGATCACCGGAGCCAAGGTAATACGGGGAAGAAGCATCCACCATTGTTGTCGAGATAAAGCACGCCGGTGCTGGTCTTCAAAGAAAAAATCGAGCTCCTATGCCTCGTTTTAGGGCTCTGATACCATGCTAGAAAGCATGCGGGTAGTGCCGATAATATGATTTGGGAAAAGCTTGGTTTATTCCTTCGTATACATCTGTATTTATACAGCTAATTACATTTAAGTTGAGCCCTTAGCCTAGTTAATAATATACATACAAATACAAATAATGGGCTAAGCCCGTAGACGGTCTAACAATATTTAACTTTGTTTTGTGAATTGTGTTGTGCAATTATTTAACTTATAAAATACATGTAGTAAATTAGTTTTTATAACTTCTTTTTATGATTAGATCGGTAATATGCATGGTGATTAAGAAGGTTGAGTGTGTTGGTAATTTGTAAATTATTAGTTGTTTATGTAATGCATTAGCATTGACAATGAGTGCAAAAAATTTGTCTCCATTTCTGTTGTTGTTGCGGCTTTCACTTCTTCTCTAGCATCGTCATTTGAACTCGTGTATTTGCCACCCCTCTAATGAGATTAACAAAAAATTTGTGGGGATTAAGTGGAGTTAACCAATGTCAAAGCGGTATAGAGATCGAGTTGTCCATGGTAGCCAAAGACACCCTAGGCCCTACTAAGGTATAGTCAAGTCTTCAAGGCTAGACCGAGAGTTCAACAACATCAGTCATCATAATCGATATTTCTTTTTGTTTGTTAATGTTCTTTTAGGTATTTGAAAGGAATGATGTGGTCATCGTATCATTTCATTTTCATTTTCATTCATCCCAGTGCCGCAAGGGGGGTCGGATGTACGCAGTCTTACCCCTGTACTAAAGCACAGAGAGACTGTTTTCGGATGACCCATAGTGAAAATCGGGTCCAAAATTGCATGGATTGACTGTTGCTTCATAACAAAGAAACGCAGACAGTTTAGTGAGCCATTTTGCTTTATTCCATCATATTCTCAAACAAAAAAATAATGAATATTTGGCTCCATTGCAAAATGATGGAAAAAAGGAATGATGTGGTCATAGAAAATATTTATGTTTACCATCTCTGTAAGGTATAGGCTATGATTCTCTGTGAGACGTTTCATATATGGACGTGTATGGTTGAAATAGGGCGAGATAAATATGGGAAGCTATGAATGAATGAAGAGCAAGAATGAAATGCAATGCAATAGAAGAAGCAAAGGAAGGGAGGGATTTTAAATTACCACACACATGAGGTTCAGAACAAAATAATTCAGTTAACATAAATAATAACTTATTATAAATGCAAAACCGTTTTTGATATCTTCCTTAAAATGTAGAACTTGTTGTGTATATCTCTTACCCTTCTAAATTAATATAAGGGCAAATGTGGAAAGAAATCAAACAATTAAATGGCCGGATGTTATGCATAATGACATATACCATTACCATCATATTAGGAAAAAATATAATAGGCATATATTGGGAAACATAAATGCTTTTAATTATACTAGACGAAGTACCCGTGTGATGCCCAGGATATATCTAGAATAGAAAAAACGACTCTTTAGTTCTTTTATTTTATTATTACATATGATGGTATGTAATGATAATAGATTCTATTCTAGCTTTAATGATATAGGACAAATTGAAAAATGTATCTTTAACAATATAGGACAAATTGAAAAAAACAATCCCAACTATTGTCAATCCGTCGTTAATAATCTCAACTATCGATTATTTTTGGGTGGTCCCAACTATAGTTACCATTTTCCAAAACAGTCTCTAACCAGTTACAACCTGATATATTAGGCCAATTTTAAATGTGAACTATCTGTGAGATTTAAATAATCCCAATTATATTTGATCTTTTTACCCAACTGTCAACTCTAAATTTTCGAAAGATACATGAATATTTTTATAAATTTCCAAACTAAATGTTTTTAAACATGTATACACAACTACAAAAATTATGCAAATGTACCAAAGTTAAATAATATATTTTTAGTCATTTTTCGGTTTATTTTCACTAAAATTTTATTTTTTCCTTTTTTTTTCAATTTGTTTTTCCCAATTGTGTTACCAATTTATGATTTTGTATTATTTTCCTTTATTGAAAATTACATTTTTTGTTTTCAAAAAGTAAACAATGGTTAAAATTTTATTTATTTTTTATGCTATATTAATTCTAAAAACCTAAAATTTTCTATTTTTCTCATTTTAGTATTTCTAGTTTCTTTCTACTTTCTTTATTTTATATTATTATATTCTAAAACTTTTATTATATAGTTTATCGTTTAGTTTTAGTGATTTGGGGTATAGGTTTTGGAGGTTTTGACTAATTTTAATTAAAATGTATTATTATATTATAATTTAAGTGATATAATGGAGATTGTAAAAAATGTAGAAAAGTGTATCACGATGGTAATAATAAGGGGAAATTTGACTTTGCATCCCACTTTTTGGATGATATTCGACTTTGCACCCATTTTAAAAAAACTATGATTTTGCACACCATTTCACTTCAAAATCCTTTGACTTTGCATTCCATTTAGAAATTTTCTTTCACAAATTTTATATGATAGGGTGCAAACTGCAAAGTCAAAGGTTTTTTAAAATGGGGTGCAAAGTCCAGTATCACCCAAAAAGTGGGGTGCAAAATCAAATTCTCCCTCCTAACTAATTTGGTAGAAAAGTGTGGAGTTTTGGTAAACATTTTTCTTCCGTCATTTTCTATTAACATTTTTACATTGATAGCTAGAAATTAAAAAATACTAAAATGAAATAAATAGAAAAATTAAATTTTTAGGGGAAAATCTAAATTAGGGGAAAATAGTACCCATGCCTTAAAATTTCACATTATTTTTATTTATATTCTGGTAAATTTTGTATATATAATTAGTGAGTTGTGAGTTTAATCATATATAATTGAAATTAACTTCTTATAAATTAGGTAACTTATCACAACTCGATTACACATATACCAACTCTATATTCGATAGAGTGAAGTTGAATTTCATTTAGATTTACCACCTTCGTCCCACTAACATTAGGATATGTGAAAGTGGTGTGGTATAAAAAAGTGAGTCTATTCTAGATATATCATGTGCATCGCATAGGTACTTCGTCTAGTAATGATTTATAATCACACAAACTTTTCTAATGCATGAAATAATTGATGGCCTGATTTATAAGGTTGAATTATTGTATTGATATTAAATTAATTTCAATAAAATCCAATTTCCTAGCTAATGAAATATTGTATTATTTACGTTATTTTATACGATTGTGATTTTTAAAATCAAAACTTTTGTTGTTCTAATATGAATAGTTTTTTACGTTGCTTTGTTTTTACAATACTTTGGATATTATAAAAATTCACATGCTAATCACACCTAGTGTGAATCACACTAAACTTGTTTATGTTTATGTAATTGATTAATTGGTTGTTTATGGTTATTAAAAATTGCTCTAGCTAGACTGAAACTCAGACAAAATGTACAAATAGGAGTACTTATGTTTTATTCAAACTTGTGTGATCTCATAACTTCATAAGTCTTAGAAAATAAGACTTATGTGATCTCACAAAATAGGAGTACTTGACTTATGCGATCTCACAAAATAAGACTTATGTGATCTCATATATCCTTTTTTTGAAAGGAAACTGATTATATTATATCACTCAAACGTGTCAACATACTTCCCCCCTTACAATTAACCCAAGCTTTCTCAATCAAACAGCTAAACTTACTACCCCTCATATAAAGCCAAACCTCCTCGTGAGGCTCAGCAAAGCCCAAAGCCCCCCACTCTCTGGCTAGACTTAGAATAGACCACCCTGAAAGGAGCGAGATTATTCGCGAACCATGTGAGAGTTTCAAAGCTTTTACCGGCTAAACTAGCCTTATCGCTTCCACCACAAACAGCATCCCAAGCCAAACAAGAAAAAACCAAATTCAACCTACCACTAAAGTTCCAAACAATAATAAAAGCAAAGTGAACAAAATAAAAGGAAAAACGGCAGAAAAAAATAAAGTCTTCATGGCACTCGGCCTTATTCAACCCCCATAGCTGCGGTCCAGAGCCTCTCAATGTTGTGTCTGGCGAGCTACAGATTTGTAGCTCGCCTCCTCTCCGTTTTTTCCCCGGTAGTAACAATCTCTATCTCCTCCCTGGTCTGGTGCTCTGCTGAGTCTTCCACGCGCCTCCGTTTCTGCTCGATATATCCCCTCTCGTGTGGTGAGAGCCCGCCTTCCACCGTACCTGGTCGCATACCTTCCTCATTATTACCACTGGTAGTCTTGCTATCAGGACTAATTCCTTTCCCTGCTGGAACAAGCCATTTGTTCTCTCTCCATTGCTTTGCCCCTTTTGAAGCCCTTAGCCAAGGGCCAAAAGGCCTTTCACTAGTGGCATCATATCCCCTTCTCTTGCGCGGGCAATGACTCTCTGCATGCCCTATTATATATACCACACAAAAAACAAAAGCTGGGCAGTTTCTCATAGCAAAACCTGACACGAAAAGTGACATCTTCCTCTTTTCGCAGGAGCAATTTCCTTTTCAAAGGTTTTCCCAGGTCAATGCGTACACGGATTCTCATAAATGATTCCCATCTCTCAGAAAAGTTATGATCATCAACTATTATAAAAGTACCTAAAAAGTTCCCAATTCGTTCCGCATTCGCAACAGTGAAATATCCCACTGGGATATCATGAACTTGAACCCAAAAAACTGCTTTATTCAGTGGAACAGATACGGGAATATCTCCCTCTTTTAGCCTGCTCATGACAATTAAGTTTTGATCAAAAAGCCACGGTCCCTCCTCCTCCACCTTAATAACATCATCCTCCTTATAGAACTAAAAAACATACCTTCTAGGGCCAATTTCAGTTATAGTAACACCATCCTCAGGTTTCCACACAGATGCCATAATATCTCTAAACTGAGAAAAATGTACCGACTTTTCTGAAGTTATGGTTCCCTCCATGGACAGATTGTGTTTCATGGAGTTCGGTGCCATCGGTGCGACCACGAGGATCTCGTCCTCCTCCTCCTCCTCCAGATCCAGCCACTCATAAACCTTGGCCAGTGCGTCCACTCCTACATTGTTCTCCATCTCCACTTCGTTTGCCCAAGAAAAACAAGTTCGAGCTCGTCCTTTAAAGCGAAACCGTCAAACCTGATATCTCCTCGTGAATACGCCCTGTTTCTTGCCGATATTGCTTCGGCCGTTGAAAACTACGGGCGAAAGGTAAAGCCCGACCAAGAAAAACCCTAGCCTCTGCGGCTAGGTCCTCTCCACTCATGTGATCTCATATATCTTAGAAAGCTTTTCCTATTAGGATTGAATAAATAATATTTTTGAAAGAAATGATTATCATATTTATACACTTTGTCTATATTTGAGTGATTTTTAAGGAATCTTATCTATTATTATTTCCATTTATATTATTTTCAGATGACGATTCTTATCATTCTGAATTAATAGTGTGTAAATTTATTGTGCATACATTATGCACACGAATTAAACAATTAAACAATTGGACAATCGGAAAGGTTTCTTAATGAATTAGGCTTGCTAAATTATATTTTTTTCTTTCTTAAAGTAAGAATTGAACATGCATACTCCGTATTATTTTAGCAACATTCTTCCCAATTCATGGAATTATTTATGAGCTGATTCATTCATATGATTGAATTATTGTATTGGACTATTGGTATTGATTTAATTTCAACAAAATCAAATTTCCTATTGAAACAATGTACTCCGTATTATTTTTGGTCAAATTATACAGTTGTGAATTTTGAACTCGAATTTATTGGTAGCAATGTTTAATGGTTGTGTTTTATGAAATAAAATTAATAAAATGTGTGAATTGCTTTACGAAAAGTTCCTAATGAAATCTAAAATTTTGAGTGGGAATTTATGTGTGGTTTCATAGTTGTGAAATGGTATGGAACTTTGTATGATTATACACATCATTCGTGTATGATTATATGGATTGTTTTTATTTATATGGAATGTTTTTATTTATGGAAAATTTAATTATTCTACGGTTTACATCGGTGATTACATTGATGGACTAAAATGGGTAGTAATTGAATACTCCGTTACTTTTAAGAATTACAGTGGGCGGCATTAGGGGTGGGCGCGGTCCGGTCCGGTCCAATATTTGGCCGAACCCGTACCTGTACCGTTACTATTCAAACGGTTCGGTTCGGTTCGGTCTTAGACCTAAACCCGTTCGGTATGGTTTCATTTTGAAACGGGACGGTACCATGTCATACCAATACCAAACAATGCTACTTTTTCCAAGTGTTTAAGAGACAATTAAAGTTTAGTCATCCTCCAAAAATCTACACAATTTATCAATTTTCATACTCATTCCATCCCAAATTGACATGCAAAGTCAATATTTTTTTGTCAACCAATGTTAGAGTTAAATTCTCTTCATTGATAATTAATTCAAATTTTAATAATTAAAATAAACATATTCAGAAACTACATTGAAATTTCTTCAAAGTTGCAAGCTCCAAATTAAATATAATTAAAAATTGACATTCTAGTTAAGTGAATAAAGTGAATCTGTTTGACAAAAAAAGTTAATTTTGCAAATCAATTTGGGACGAAGGTAGTATTACATAATTAATAAATTTCAGATAAATTATAGTAGTACAAATTTAAATGATTAAACCATACATCGATCTGATTCCAGGCTTCCTATGAACTAGCAAAGACGGTGAAAATGTAAAGGCACTAGTCAAAATAATGGTATAAATGTAAATTTAAATAATTAAATCATACTTCGGTCCGGTTCGGTCCGGTTTCGGTTCTCATTTTATGAGAACCGGTCATGGCATTGTTTAGAATCGGTACGGTTCGGTTCGGGACAAAAAAATTGAGATCCGTTTCAAATCCCGTTTTTCGGTCCGGTACCATATCGGTTCGGTTCGGTACCATGCCGGTTCGGTATTTTTGCCCACCCCTAGGCGGCATTTTACATTTTTACATAAAGATTTCCAAAAACAGTAGCAACTCTGCTACTTTATATTATATAAAGAAAAGATATATAAAGATGAGAGGTAATTATCTCTTAACTCAAAACTTAATTTAACATCATACATTCATACCTTGTGAATGGAGACGAAGAAATAGAGGGCAAAGACATGCCTACATAGATTTTATTCATCTCTTTAGTTTATATGCTTTTTTGTTTGTTTGTACAACGTGAAATACACTTGGAGTGTTCAGAAATTAAAACTCACGCATTTCTTGATAACATATGGTGTAAGCTTATTCATAATAACAATTTGTATTAGATGTTCTGACTAGTAGTCTAGTATTATGAAAAAAAAGCTATTGAAAGTGTGTTTTTAATTTTGGCTTGTTGGCTGCAAAAGGGAAATAAAAAAGTTGACACTATGAATAACTGTTTCACCATATTTTCAAAAAGTCAAAAAAATGGTTGCTATGCCAATGACCAAATGATCGAGCAAGTGACGCTGGAGATTTAGATGAGCCACCATTATAGTGGATCAGTGGGAGAACCTCAAAGATTCCGAGCGTGTACAGGGAATGAGATCAGTTTTTTAGCCTGACTGGTAAACTGGTAAGTAGTTGAGGGAGGCACAAGGGCAATGACATACAGCGTAACAAATGTAATATACTGATTCATCATGACAAGGAGGACAAGTGTTCATCGTCCATCCTTACATGCTGATGTTTGTGATATTCCTAAAGGGCCTAGCAAAGTAGCAACATGTGTGTGTACATATATAAATCATAAATATATATATATCACATACAGTAAACCGTTTGTGACACCACGGTTTTGTATGCCATTCATCAATTAATGACAGTCGATGCCATCATTCGACGGAGCCAAAACATAAATTCTCCGTATATATTATTACTGTTATTGTGAAATACTCCGTATTAGATTAGATAAATACATAGTGGCAACTTTAAATCTCTGCCGCTGTGAAAATTAAGAGGTTGAGGATGCAATGTGTAGTGCTTGGCCCTGTGTGAACCGTTGTAGTTGTATCATGCGCGCATAAATGCCATCAGGGCAGTGTTTCAAGAGATGGGAGTGAGAGCCCTGCTCTGCTACTTTCCCATCGTCTATCACTGCAATCACATGGGCATTCATGATTGTGGACAACCTGTGCGCGACCACAATTGTCGTCTTCCCCACACATGTCCGCTCCAGTGCTTCCTGCACGCACTTCTCCGACTCTGCATCCAGCGCGCTCGTCGCTTCGTCCAATAGCATCACGTCTCCTTTCCTCAAGAATGCTCGTGCGATTGCGATCCTCTGCTTCTGCCCTCCCGACAGCTGGGCCCCTCTTTCCCCCACAAATGTCTTGTACCCGTCTGGCAACGCCGATATGAAACCGTGAGCGTTCGCTGATGTGGCAGCCTCGACGACCTCTGCTTCAGTTGCCGATTCGTGTCCGTATGCGATGTTTTCATATATCGTTGAGGCAAAGAGGCAAGGTTCTTGTGGGACAACGGAGATGTGGCGTCGCAAAGACTTCAGGTTGTATTTCCTGATGTCTTTTCCATCGATCAAGACGTGTCCGGACGTCGGTTCATAGAACCTCTCCACAAGGGAGATCACGGAGCTTTTCCCGCAACCACTGGGCCCCACAAGAGCCAAAGTTTTGCCTGCTCGGGCACGGAGACTTAAGTCCTTGAATATGAGGATGTCAGGCCGGGAGGGGTATGAGAAGTCAACGTGCTTCAATTCAACCTCACCACGGAGTTTGTCAACGACAGGGGCCGCATCTGGGTCATCAGGCTCAATTTCTGTTTTTCGGTCAAGCAGGTCAAAAACTGACCTCATTGCCCGACCGCCTTTACTGAACTCAGGGGCCAGGGTCAGTGTCTCAGCTGCCCCATTCGCAGATATCATGAGGACTATGAAAACGCGGATTGTCTGGGAGAAATCGGAGATTCGATGCTTCACAAGCCAGGAGGCATACCAAAAACCCAGGGCATAGGAAGCATAGAGCAAGAACTGGGCTACTCCGAATCCGATGCCAGCAATTTGTCCTTTCCAAAAGCAGCGCCTGAGTGGATTCTGGAGGTTGGTAGTGTAAAGACTGACAATTTTTGATTCCGAGTTAAATGCAGCAACCGTTCTCACATTGGCAACAGCTTCTCCAGCTAGCTGTGTCCCTCTGGCATGAGCTGCTTCCAAATCACCAGAGAATCCTTGTATGAACATTTTCTGTGGAATGGAATTAGAGAAATTAGAGAAGATAGTAAATAATGCCATTAAAACTTGGTTTGTGTATCTTTACATTTGACCGGTGCGAGGTGACTTGACATGTCTTGCAAGATGGTGGCTCATCTGAGCAAACCAATCCTGAATTTTGCACGCTCGTTTTTGAATATTTGTTGGATCAATTATTCATTTGAGCTTCATTGATTCTCTTACCATTTTAAAAGTTGGGGTTCAACCTACAAGGACAACATGTAGCCTACTTTTGGAATCCACATGGTCTTTTTTAGTCTTAGTAGATCAATTGCTTATATGAGCTTAATTGACTCTCTTACTAAATTAAGATTTGGAGTTCTATTTCAAAAGCTCATCCTGATAGAAAGGGCAATTCAAAGCCTTATTATGGCCGGTTTAACAAATGTTTACTTTGTATAGGACAACACATTTGAACATGAACAAGCAGAAGCAGACTAGAGAGTATGGCTCCGTAACTAACCTGCAGCACAGTTGCAGCAACAACCACGGGGAAAACACCCACTAATACAAGGGATAGGCGCCATTGCAACACAAAGCCTGCAGTGAATGCAACTAGCATAAGAGCTAAGTTCTGCATAACTACTGAGATTCGGTCCCCAATGGCTGATCTGACATTGTTTGCATCAAGGGAAAGCCTTGCTGCAACCATAGAACTCTCGTTTTCCTCCTGGTCAAACCATGCCAATTCGTTTTTAAGCACTGCCGCCAGCATTTTCTCCCTTACTCTTTTCGTCAAGTTCTCTCCCACAATATTCCAGAACAGATGTTGTATTGTATTGAAAATAAGAGCAGCAGATGAGACGCCAATTAAGAGGTAACAATACTTGGCTATTTCTCTACTCATGTAATCATAGTCTGGGTTGTAGTAGATGCTAAGAACAGCACTCAGGACATAGGCAAAGAGTGCACTGAGAGAACCAGAGATGACAGAGCCTATGGAACCGATGACTGCATAACCCCACTCCGGAGAGTTCATTTTGGCAAGCCGCCAGAAGGAATTTGCTTGTTCCTTGAATGCAAGTTTCTCCTGTCGATACCCACCATCCAATGAGAAGCTTAAGTCAGAAGTTGAGAAGTCGGACAACTGGCGAGAATATGGTGATTTCCCATAGGAAGAGTTTCTTGTCATTATTGGAGAGCTCACAGAGTTTCTGGCACTGGATGGCCTGCAAGCAATGACGCCATACACTTGTTTTAGTCTAAATCTTGTTACACGAGAGATATAATAAAAATTAAAAGATTAACATAATACGTGATGGCATAACATTTCCAGAACATTTTATTTTTTTTCCAAAAAACATTATATTTATCAAGATATAGACTAAATCCACCAAAACCTCCCATGCAAAATACTTCACCCAAGAGAACCCAAGGGACTTTTTGGATGAGGGTTTTTGGAGGAGAAGGCTTCGTCTAAATCTACTCCTGTGTCACAATTTTCTTCCCACCT